GGAAAGTTCAGCCTTTTGTGTTATTTTGCTGCTAATGTTTTTGTTACTACTGTCAATGTTAATTCTGCACTATGTGATGTTGATACTGAAAGGTTTGCTGGTACTGAAGTGGGAGTTGATTTTGCACATTGTGATGTTGATACTGACAGATTCGTTGTTACTGAAGTGGGTGTTGATTCTGCACATTGTGATGTTGATACTGGTAGGTTCGTTATTATTGAAGTGGTTGTTCTTTCTGCACATGGCACCAATATTGGTGGGTTTATTGTTACTGAAATTAATGTTGATTCTGCACATGGCACTGATATTGGTGGGGTCATCATTACTGAAGTGGATGTTGATTCTGCACATGACACAAATTTTACTGATGCTACCAGCTTTAGAAATGCTTTTAAAATTGCCTGTGAAGTTTTATGATTCTTGGAGAATCCATTTCTCTAAAAAATTAGACAAAAATATTAGCAACATTTTGTGTTGTGGATAATTCAAGAAATGTTATATGCATAAAGCTTAAAAATAGTTATTTGTTGAACACTGATTGTAGTGATGTGTTTATTTTAGACCATTACAACCTGAAAAGGTATTTCAGATAGAAACTCCTCTCTCCACAGAACCAACTGCCTTTCTTCCCCACTTCCAGTGTGTTTCATTTGCCTTATCATGAATGAACTTGTGGTAATACAGCACCTTCCTGTTAATGGAGGGCTATAGTTTAATGCTGATTGTATCATATACTGCCATAGTACACATTAACTCTTTCACTATGGGCATCTTTTTTTCTGTGCAAGTTATGAGGTTTTAGTGGGTTACATTCAAAATTTATTTAAACTACTTTCTTATCATGATATACAAACATACAAATGTAGCTAATAATCCAAATTTTAGTAATATACAAGTTTTAAGCTCATAATTTTGTATGGCAATATTTAAAAACAAAAACAACCAAATTTCCTCTGGTATGAGAATTGTGACATTTTTTCTTTGGGCATCCCCTCTTCTCTAATTTATTTATCACCCTTCCAAGAAGTATAAAATTTAATGAAAATTACTCCTTATAATGTTGTCATCTCTCAGGCAAAGCATAATTTTTATAGCCTTCAATCACGTAGAAAATCGGACTCCTCTTACTTTGCCCACCTGTCACATCCTCTCTTCCAGAAATTGCCAATAGTTCTCTCTAACATTTAATGCTATATTATTTATAACCAATAGAAAGCCAAGGTTTTAATCTATCAAATGATGTATCTTACTACATTATTTTCTGTACAGAGAACTGTCTATTTTGCTTCTAGTTCAAACTTTATTCTCACAGGAAACACATCAGTGAGCTTAGCAGAATTTTAATAGCTCTTTTTACATAGTTAGAAAGCCATAAAAATTGTGATAGTTATGGAACATTGTCTGCTTTTTGCATTTGATTATTCTGTGTTCTTTGGTGCTATATTTAATTAAATAAAAAATTTAGTGCATTAGTACCATTAATATAAAAAAAAGTAGGGTTAACTGCTCTAGATAGTCGACAAAAAAAAAGGACTCAGGTAAGTAATTTTTTTTTTTACGTGTTTATTCTTTATTTATAATTATAAAAGTAACTAAAATGTAAAAATTAGAAACTTTTTAGGATAGATTAGGTAAAAATAAATAATATTTTTTTTTCATGGGATAGGCTCAAAAGCAACTCACAAGTAGCTTGGCATCATGTAGTTCAATAGGGTAAGATGAGTTTCACTTTCACCAAGTGATTTACAAATCTTATGGCATGAATATCAATTAGTTATGGTTTAAAGGGCAATAAAACAATAAAATTCATGTTTAAACAGATGTATACTGTTATGAGTTTATAGCTATTTAGAATAAACAAATGTAGTTTCATGTAATGATGGGAAGTCATTCTAGAAAGAAAAAGGGTCATTTAGATTTTTAAAAACTTTTAGTGGTTACAACGTTAGTCAAATTGACAAACCTTGTATAGAGTTAGGGTAGAGAAAATAAATGTTTGAAACTTTTAGGATGATTTTAAAGTTTACACAAATGAAATCTGAGATTTTTCATTTGAAAAAAAGTAATTTTAATCTTAACCTGAAAATCACTATCCACTCAGAGCAAGGACTCCTTGTATTCATGGAGAAATTTTTAGTGAAAATACTTCATTAAAAAATCTGAAAGCTTGCCAAATTTCATGAAAATGTACAAAACATATTAGAACTTACATTATGGAAACTATAAAGGTCACTTTAGGGTCACAAACTAGGTTGATTTGACCAAGCCCATAGTGAGAGAATTAATACATTTAGTGGTGGAAGTTATGCTCAAGGCTTGGTTCATGCATAAAAATCTTTTCAGCAGTAGCATGAAATAATAGTTTTCAGTTCTGTGGAAAGGTGAGTTTCATGTCTGAAATGCATTTTCATATAAGGAAATTGTTAACTTTGCAAGAGTATTCCTAAATATAACTTATGAATTATGCTGTAAAAATCAACACTACACAATAAAAAATATTTCAGAGTAAATGCATGTAATTTCAAGCTGATATACTTTCAAATATAGTGAAGTTAGACTTAGTCGTTCTGAGTAGTTTATTGATTTTGTAGCTATAAAGCTAATCACACACCTGCTACTTGCATTTGTGTAGTAGGAAATGTTCATTCTTTTTTAGACTTGATTCTTAGTCTGTCATCCAAAGTCTATTTAATTAGACATTTTGTTAAAATGAGGATTGAAAGCAGTGAGTTTTTGATCCATTTATATAATTTCCCTTTCAAGTGCATTGGAATAGGTTTTAAAAGTTGTCAAATAAAAACTTGTTTTGTAAAAATTTGCTGTACAGTCCAATGAAATATTCCAACAAAAAGATATGAAATAATTAATATTGAATTATATAGAACAGTAATTGGCCAAGATTTAGTTTTATCCATTGGAGGAATTAGGTAACATGCACATGTTGCTTTATATTAGTGGTTCCCTTAATGTCATGTTTGATGTTCATGGGAATATTAGACAGTTTGTTTCAAAAATTATTTTTTAATCTTAAGTGTACCAGAGTTATATTTAGCCAAAGATTGGAAGTGTTGTTTTTGTATCTTGACTTCAGTTATTGATGATGTCAGAAAAGGAACTTAAAACTAAAGATTTGAACATTTGTTTCAGTTTTCAAAGTCAGTTCTCAAGAATGACCATAATGTGAAACAGTGATACTATAACAATGAATTTGAGCTATATATTGTAAAGAGATTCCACATCTTATGACATTGATGTGAAATTGACACAGTTGTATTATAAGTCCAAGAGTGAAATCTGTGTGATTCCATTGATTTAGGCCAGTTATGAGTGATAAATATGTATGTTAATAAATATGAATTAGGTTTTTCTTCCAAACATTTTTTTCTTAATGAATTCACAATTTTTTAGCATGGTTTCAACAACTTTTTTCAAGTATTTCAGTCCACAGGCAAGAGTCTCCCCGTTGTTTAGTAATAAGCTTGAGGGGTAATAACACTAAAAATTCAGGTTTTGGTACCTGAAGTAGACATAGCACATTTTTCCATTACTATTGTTACAACAGTACTATGAGTGCAAAACAAAACCTTATCCACACCTAACGACTTGATATTCACAACTTTATAGCATTTTGACCAGGTTTTGGATTTTGAGCAAAGAAACTATTTGAAACTTTATACTATTTATATGTAAATAAAAACTAAACAGAAGGTAAAGTGTAATAGATTTATTCATATGTTTTTAACAGAAATAGTTTACCAAGGCCTTGAAGAGTATGAAGTTGAACTTTGTTACTCTGCCACTTATTACTAATGTATTGATGGAAACTGTCCACAAATACAAAACTATGAGATTCACCATTCTAGACTTTAACAGTTATTGAGAATCGAGCAACCTGATGTGATATTGGTTACATAATTTTAAAACAATGCTTATAACTCACTCACAGATAGGTGTAAATCAAAAATTTTATTCAATATGTCTTTAAAGAAAAATCCATTTAACTTTTTTACTAATAAATAGTAATTAGATTGTTACTCTATCAATGAGGTTTCAATGTTACTGAATATTACTTTGTAATTTTAGAAGTGTGAAATAACTATTTTGCTATAAGTACATAGCTTGCTTTCATTGGAAGTTAACATTAATGATAATCAGCCAGTCATCTGAACAGAGTTCAGTATTTTCTTTTTTGCAGTGATTGAAAGTTTCAATTGGTTATTGTTTTGAATCATTTCAATGACAAGCATTTTTAAGACATTTTTTAAAGAGCAAGATACAATACTATGTTTGTAGTCCTGCTCTGTGTCATTCTGCAAGGGACTGTGAAAATCTGTAGAATAATATTGGTTGAATAAACCTGCTTTATTGTTGAAAGTCTCTGGATTAATTTATTCAGTTACATTCTTAAACTTTGTCAGTTTAGAAACCACTACGGAAGATACTATGAGGTGTTGAAATGTATGGCACAGACTTGACTTATGTTTTAAATATTTATCTTGTGCATCAGTAATGTAGTATGAACACTTAACATATTTTAAGTTCTTCCAATATTATTTATGGGCATGCATAATATAAATCTCTGATGAGTAAACATTATAAATTAATTTTAAACTGGACCATTTGTAACCTGTGTATGAAGTGTAACATTTATATTAATTCGTGGCTGTTGTTTGATTACATTGTCTCTGTATATTAACAAATCCATCCAATTCTATGCCATTCGGCCTACTATTGTTAAGTGCAATTATCAGTATGGCTTTTGTGCTGTTGAAGAAACATCTCTAAACAAAATAATTCTACATTCAGACTACTGCTACTAAATAATTGTATAAAAGAGTAAGCCAAAATTATTTCCAGAATATAGAGCTCCACAATTAATTTCATGCTTTTGTGTTTTTAATCTTGTAATCATTATTGAGTAATTTATTGTTCACGTATGTTAATTAATTGCATTGTTCTGTAATATTTGTACATTAACCAAAAAAACAATGTATTTTTAGACGAAAGAGTGTTTGTGAACTAGGAGGTGGAATGACCTGTCTTAGTGGGTTTGCAGTAAGTATTTAATCTCGGTGTTTATGATTAAGTTTTCTGATTAATTCTGGAAATGGCTAACTACTTATATCTTACTGCTGTAATAATTTGTTTTTGAAAGCATTTTGGTGCACATGTTTTTGCTAACTTGCATATTTAAACATTGTAAGAGTATGTCTGTTGTAAACTTGTGTGAGAAACATTGTACTTTGGGTAACTAGAAAGAGTAGTGTTCCACAGTGAAACCACTGACATATTTTTATTTATAGTGTGTCACTCAAATATCAAAATGTAATTTTATATTGTAAAAAAGTGGTTCTGTCTGCTAAATTTTTTTATTTTGGTGAAAGAAATAATTTAAAATTGAGTTGTAACAATTGCATAATATAATTTTAAAACTAGTAAAAGATAATATTACCCTAATGCATTTTTTTTTTTCATTTACTGTGATAAAAACAAATTTTATTGAAGATTCATATCGTGTTGTTTGTTGTGAAAGTATCTTGCAGCCAATCAGTATAAACATTTTTATCTCGCTATACTTAACACTTGTCTGGAGAGATAGTTGTTCCAATCAAAAGTCAAGGGAGATTTGTTTACTTGTGTAATTATTTTTGTGTGTATTTTATTAAGTTAAACTACTGTTTGATTTGTGAGGTAGTGCATGTTTGGTTGTCTAAGATTAGAATGTTATTATAGTTTTATTGTCAACAATCAGTAGTTTTGTATGTTGGAATTGAAATTTTTTTTTTATAAAGATAGAGATGCGTATATCATTTTGAAGTTGTTTTCAGTTAGCTACTAGCCTAACTGTACTCTTGACAGTTTACTAGGTACTGACTGAAATAAAGTGTGCATTTAGATTCTTGTTCTCAAAGAAAAATCCACCTGTAATAAATACAAATTACAAATGTCTACGGACTAAATATGACCATGCTCAGGTCACATGGCCATAATCCTTACTGTATTTTATCACAGAATGGTATAACTGCAGAAATTGTTGTTTTATAACTGTTGAAGTTTTCAGGTTTAGTGAAATAACCATATAAATTTTTTCAAGTTTAATTTCATACTTTAAGGTTGCAGCTACAGGAGGAGCTAAAGAAGTGTTTCTCACAGATGGAAATATGAGATCAGTGAAGAGTATCCTTTATTTCATACTTGTTATATTTATAAAAACTAATGGTATTATATGAACTTTAAATTCCTCAAACTATATATAGGTTAGAAAAATAGTTTAGATTATTAGCATTTCTGTTTCTTCACTTATTTTGTTGTTGTTAAAAATTCACATATTTCAGTTTATGTTTTTGTTAAACTTTTATATACCACAGTTTAGGTTTATGGTTCATGTTTTACATATTGTGTTTGATTTTCTTTTAAGTCCTTATATACAAGCTACAGCTTGAAAAGAAGTATGTGGCAAAAAATTATCTGTATTGTGAGAAAATCAGGTTAAACACATAACAGTTAATTGTATTGTTATTTTATTGACAATTATTTTAAATGAAATTTTTATTTCTTCATCTGTTGCATATTTTTTGAAATATAGATATAGGTGTAAGGTGATCTTGGTGGAAGTTCCAATACTATTGTACATTTTACATTAATTTATGCTGAAACTTATCTTGATACCTGTTTGTAGTTGTAAAATTCATAAAATAATTTATAATTAACATAAAAGCTGTTTATATGTGGAATTTTTCTAACCTTGTTTAAAAGCAGAACTACAGCAGAATATCATCATAAACACAAATACCTGCATTTTTTGTTCTACTTCTGTGTTCCATAGGCTTATATGTGAGACACAGCATGCCTTGTAATAGCTTTCATCTGCATTACTTTCAATCATAGCTAGATGGATAAGCATAGTATTATTTGTATCACTCGTTCTTACTCAATCATTTTTATCTTGAAAGTAGATGGATTAGCACATAATGAGTCTTGCATCATCATATTTTCTTTATGCATCATATAGCAAAGACATTTGCTGGAATCAAAGCCTCTGCTTGATTTTCTTGTAAAGTGTAAATCTTACTGATGCTCCACATGATGGGAAATTTATCATTACAAACTGTTCTTATGTACATAAGCTTTACAGCTACTCATCTTGTTTGATATGCAAACTCAGTAAGTACAATTATGCTTGCACATCATATAGGTAGATTAGCAGTGGTAAAATGTGTGCAAGATGCAAAATTTTTATAAATTATACAGTATTGAGGGAAACAATATTATAGGTTACTGTGTGAAAAGTCAATACCTTAACTATTTAGAATGCTTGGTTATTCTTCCTATTGTGCATGAACAGTTTTAATTATTTGATACTATGATAATGAAAAAAATACTTTGATTAACCGTACTAGCTGTTGAAATAAGACAATAATGTGTGTGAAAAAGTCCCAGAAATCAAACCTTGATTTCACTCCTAATGCAATCACTTATTAATGGACACCACCTGTAAATGTGGGTACTCTGGAAGTTTTGGGAGATGTAAAACATACACCTTTAAGAATGCAGATACCATTTTGCTTGATTTGAATAATGTGAGCATTTACATCTTGATAGTTTGCTGCAAGGAGAGAAAATCCACTGTACACCTTAAATAATAGTTCAGAGGCACAGCATTTTAAGCGGAATATAAATCAAAACACAGGTGACATCCTATATATCTTCTTAATTGAAACAAATTGCTCTTGCAACTTTCTAATATTTCATATGATAGACAAAAGTTTACTTTATGATGGATGAGCACACGAGCGGTTGAAACATTGTTATAAAGTTAAGATATAAAATAATCCATTGAAAAAAACTCTCTCTGGACTTCAATATTGACAATTTTGTGAAATGGTAAGAGCTATTTCAAACAGTTTTATTAGAGTAATAGCCAAGTATGAGTCTGGATGGAGGTAGGGTGAAGAATTTGGCCATGATTATGGTGGGGGTTTCATGGTGTGAGGTGGTTTTTATATATTGAATGTGAGATATTTATATATAAAGTGCATGCATAACTAATTACCCAAGATATTTTAATGAACTGGTTCCAGAGGGCCATGGCAAAAACACTGTTTGCTACAGCCCTTACCTAGCTCCTAAATAACATTACTAAACTACTGGAATAGCCTTCCCAAAACCCATATATCAACCATGAACAATATCTTTGGAACCTTCTGGAGGAGTTACCTTGAAAGTTTAGACTATCTTTCTCTGTTCATCAAGTGGCCAAGCTTTCAAAACAACAGTGATTACAAATTGAAGATATATTTTTTAAAGCTAGTTGAGATCATGCTTAACAGAATAAAATAGATATTCAGGTCAGAGATGGTGCTTTTGTTTAAGAAGACAGTGGTTTAATGTAAACCCCTCTTTTATTTCAACCTTGAATACATTTAGTAGTGTGTTATTATTAGAAATAATTTTTGATAAAGGGAGAAAAATAATTTATAATAATTCTAAATTTCAAAATGACAATACAAATTAGGATTTACAACATCTTTAAAAGCTAAATATTGATGAAATACAAATTGCATGTAAGCTTGGCTTAAAAGGAGCTCAGATGTTAAGTTTAAACTCTATATTTGTTTGTTTATGGAAAAAAGGTAGTTTTAATTTAAACTGTTAACTACTCTTACAAAAGTTGTTTAATTACTGTTAGCCTAAAAGTAACTAGTTATCTGTAGTGAAGAATTATTGCATGTTGGAACGTAAAGAGTTTGTAATGATATTACTCAAAACTGTTTTTGGTAACTTGGTATTAAGATAATTTTAGAGGGTTTACAGTGATTACTCACTACCAGATTCTTGTATATCTAAATACTTTATAATGGATTTGCTTGATATTATGTGTTGAGATATGTATATATAGGTTTACAATGATTACTTGCTACCAGATACTTACATTTAAATACCTTATAAAGAATTTACCCACCATACGTTTTAAATATATACAGTGATTATTCAGTACTAGATACAGGGTTAATAATGACTACTAACTTATGGGTAGCTAGATGTGTACAAGTTTTAAATTGGCTTTCCTCACCATTGGGTACCTAGACAATTACAGGATTTATCATAAACGTTAACGTATGGGTAGCTAGATGTGACCAAGGTTAAAATTTGTTCTACTCACAATTGGGTACCTACAAAAGTATGTGGATTATGAAGGCTCTACATCTTATCACCACTAGTATATTCAGAGTTGATAATGGCCTGAATCATCACTGGATACATAGATTTACTGAAATGAACTCTGTGTAGATATGTGTTCTTGTGTTAAAACTTGCAATAACTGGTAGATGTAAGTAAATGTAGTTGCTGTGAAATTTTTATAATTTGGTTAAATATAAGTACTTTTAAAATTGTTTTTTTAAATGATTGATATATGTACTGTGGAATTCTGATAATTTATATCATTAAATAAAAACTATTAATTCAGTTTCCTTAAAATAACCTCAGATGTTCAAGTTATTGTTGAAAGGAATTCTAGTCGGTTCAATAAGACAAGAGTTATAAGCAGGTATGTAGTAATTTGAGTAAACTCTGTTATGACTTTCTGATTGAGTGAGACACCTTGAATGAATTCCAGAAGCATGGTGAATACAAGAAACATCCGAATGGGAAGTTGGTGGAATTATAGTTGTTAGTATTAGCTGAAAAGCAAAAAATATTTACAGCCTTCATTTTGTAGACTTTTCCTTTGCAATACAGTTGGAAATAGCTAAAATTATCATACAGTTTAAGTAGAATGTTTTGAAAATAATAAATCATCCTTTAATTTTCACATATTACAAAACTACTGAAACATACATTTGACCACTACAGTTACTTGAATTCCAAGTAGGTTGCAATAAACAGATTTTCTGTACAATGCTTGTGAGAAGTATTAATTTATTTTGCAAACACACACACACACACACACACACACAAAGAGATGATTATTCATTTGCAGATAAACTGTGACACACAGTGATGATGATGACCATTTATATGCAGATAGGTAGCCACATGTAGTAAGGAATATTCAGGTGCAGGCAGACAGTCACATGTAGTGATGAACATTCATATGTAGACAAGACAGTCATACATGCAGTGATGGCCATTCAAGTACAGGCAAGTAATCACACACAGTCATGACCATTCATGTATAGACAGGTAGCCACCCACGCTGATGACAATAGGCAGTTGCACACATAAAGTTTTGACTATTCACATGCAGTCAGTATCACACAAAGTTATAATCATTTATTTGATGACTAGGAGATATTAGTGGAATTTGATAATCAGTCTCATTAATCAATTACGTTCCACTAATCGATTATTCTTGCATGAGACTTGGATAATTAGAATAATCAGATTTATTATTTTTGTGACATTAATCAGTTTGATTATAATTTTGATTAATTTACATGACACTAATTGATTACATAGTTATTCATGTGGAGACAGACAGTCACATACACAGTTCAAGTATAATTATCAAGTATTTTTTATGGAAGTCTTTTTTTCCCCCCTAGTGCTGCTGTTTAACTTTATTCAATATATATTTAACAAAGTGTAGATAGAATTTTGTACATATCATATCTGCAACATTTGTGGGGGAAAAAATTATTTGTTCTAACTATTAACTGGCTCAAAAACATTTTTCTTGTAAATAATAATGGAAGTGGTTCTCTGCTTATTTAAAAATATTGTTGTTTTACAAGGTGATAGTAAGCAAGTTAAAGTTGTGAAAAGGGGAGTGCAAATACACAAGTAAAAGGTTAAAGTAGGAAATTCTTAGGACATGTATGCTCTATTTTTATAGATTGCATGATAAGTTTTATATTAAGTTAACTAGTAACTCTAAAACATAGGAAGGGGAAAGTAGTTTATCAAACCATTCAGTATCTTAAAAGCTACAACTGTAAAGCACACTTTGACCTTTATTTTACCACTAGATTTTGCATGGATTGACAAACTGGGCTCTGAAAATATACCTGTAGTTCTTTACAGAGATAATTTTAAAGGGGTGTCTGTTCTAAAGTTCTTCTTATTTTATGTCTTTATAGCAAAATGTATAAAATGAATTGAAAAGACTAATTTTCTGTAATTTGATGCAGTAGGATGTCAAGAAATATCGGATTTGAAAATGTTTACAATTTTTAAACCTAATACCATGAGTATTAGTGTATTGTAATTGATGTGTATTATTTCATTCAAAATGCTGAGAGAAAGAAGAAGAGTTACATCTACTGCAAATAAATGGACAATGGTTTGCCAACTGAATTGAATGGTAGTTATGAACTTGTAAGAGCCTTGCGCTATAAGTTCCTTTTGGGTGTAATGTGTGTATAATTAACTTAATGTTGGAAATTCTTATAAAATATCTTGTCATTGCAAATGTGAAATCTGAGACTTATTATCAAAAATGTATGTGTGAATAGACCTTTCATTTTGAAGGGCTATCGACAAATATTCTGGATTCTTATTTCTTAGGACTCGTTTTACATTAATGAGTGTTGGATTAAAAATGCTTATTGTGTTGTTAATTATGTGGCTAATTGTAGTTATTTGTGCATAATTATTGATCATGTTTACGAGTAAATGTTATTAAGTAATATAGTACATATTTTATGGAGAATTGTAGTGCTATATTAATATGTTTTTTAATTCATCTGCTTCTTTTCTTTGGATGATGAGCA